GCTATGGACTGCCAAAAGAACCAATAGATCCGTTTTGGAAGAAGTGCAGCCAGAGTGCTCCTTAGAGGCCAAGATGGCCAAACTCCGTCTCTCATATTTTGGACAGATTGTTAGGAGGGAACAGTCGCTGGAGAAGGATATCATGTTTGGTAAGGTGGAGGGTCAGAGAAAAAGAGGAGAACCCCCAATGAGATGGATTAGCCAAGTGGCAGCATCGATGGACTCAAGCTTGGCAACAGTAGTGAGGTTGGCCCAGGATCGGGCAGTGTTTTGTTCTACTGTGCATAGGGTTGCTATGGGTTGATACCGACTCGATGACACCTAACAACAACATAATGATCCTATAGTCAGTATTTGGAATCATTTACTTTATACTAATTTTCTTTCAGGAATCTCTTACCACAACTTTTTTTGTTTCTTTAAAACCCTTGAATAATGCAGTTTAAAACTTCTGACGCCTCTTCATTCTTTTTTCAAAGCCGTGAAGGAGTTTATGCTCATTTGAATATTTCCCTATTTCTGAATATTGACTATATTAATTTATTAAGTTCAATATCCAGACCTTTTTTGTTTTCTTCTGCCTTTGAATAACTGACCTTTTGGCAGACTAGAAAAGGAGGTAGGTATTAGTTAAGGTAAGGTGAGGATGAGGGGACAGAGGATATTGTGGTAGGACTAAATATTCATAATATTGACCTCATTCATATAAGTAGTATTAAACTTACTGTCAAACATAAAACTTATTGTGGTCTGCCAACTGATAGTAATAAAATTGTATTTAAAGTATATTTAAAAATTTTTTTAAATAAAATTCTGAGAAATAATGACTCATCGAATAACAATACCAAATAATAGCAGGTTTAGATATACAGGTAGTCCCTGACTTACAACGTATTAGAGTTATGTTGAACCACACTTAATGAGTGTTGTCCTTTTTTTTTTTTTTTCCTTTGTAAATCTTATCATTAGTAATATGTGCAGCACGTAATTTGCTGATGTTATCATTCTCAGATGTTCACTCAGAGATGTTCACTTTTATGATTTACTGTTCAAAACACTGCTGGATTTATAAAGACACTGATAACAAAAGGCAATAATATAAAGAAAACTGGAAACAAAGAAAAGGTAATTGGACTTACGTCAGAGCTGTCTTACAACAGAGTCATTGGATGGGAACCCTGTTGTAAATCAGGGGCTGACTGAACAATAGTTTATATGTACACATGGTTATTTGTTCACCAACTGATCTCACCCAAATAAGGGAAAATATTTATACCATAATACAAGATAATTTGTATTATTAGATCTGACCTTATAAGTAATAAAGGCAAGTTTCTATCCAAGTAATTGGTTTTTTCTTTTCCTTAATTGATTTAAAGGTGGGTACTGTAAGTACCTCATATTTATTTCAGTGTTATAGTTATTTCATATTTAGTAGCAGCTAAATAAATATAATGACATTTTGCTTAATTTTGAATGATTTTTAAGACTTAATTTGAATTAGGTTTAAGACATATCCATATTTAGACTAGGTTTATCTGTATATGTTAACATCTCAACTTCTTGTTTGGTCCTCATGTAAATTAATAGTCAGGTCTTTGGTTTGGTTTTTAAGTGAAATAGTTCCATGGCACCCCTTACTTGTTTCATCCTTTCTTTAGAATAAAGCTACCTTTACTTGTGTTTTATAAGCCAAGAGATGTGAGTATAGGAAGGAAGGATAGGGAAGAGTGGGAAAATTCTCTCAGAAAAGTCAATACTTCAGTTTAACTGTGCTCTAAGTACAACGTGTGATTAGTTGTATAATATTAGATTATAGGATTGTTGTTGTTAAGTGCTGTTGAATTAGTTCTGACTCACAGTGACCCTGTATAGGGTTTCTGAGTAGTGGCTGGTAGTTTTGAACCGCTGACCTTGTGGTTCAAAGTCCAGTGTGAACCAGGACTGTAGCGACACACCAGGACTGCTGTAAAGATTACAGCCTAGAAAATCCTAGAGGGCAACTGTATTTTGTCAAACGGATACACTGTGAGTCAAAATGGACTCAATGACACCAACCACCACCAACAAAAATCTATATCACAAAAATGCTTTCTAAACTTAGAAAACAGCTGCAGTACAAAGAATTAATTTGGGTAAGTCTTAAAAAAAAAAAAAGCCACTACCTATGCTAACAGATACAATGTATTCCCACAGAATGCCAATAAAAAGAGAAGAAAAAGTTCAAGGAGAAAGTGGGGGGAAGAGAAGCCAGCGCACCGCACCTGTAGTGTCAGAATAATAATCAATGGATTTAAAAAGAACACAGCACAACAGAAATGATAATAAATTGTGTTAACTCTGAAAACGTTCCACTGTTTTTCTTTTGTAAAGAAATGTCACCTGATTTCTAGTCTTGTTCTCCTTGCTAAAGCCGAATATTATGTTTTTAAAAATGGCTTTTGGATGATAGTACCTTTTTCTTATATATAAATTACTAATATGTGATTAGCAGTTGGGAGCCTTCTCTTTACAGAATTTAAGTGCTCCGTGGTCATCTTGCCTTTTCTTTCTCTGTATTAAGGCAGCAGTAACTCTTGGGTAGGAGTCCTGGTGTAGCGCTGTAAGATATGTCCTGGACTGTTGACCACAGGCTGACGGTTCAAACTCACCAGCTGCTCCTTGGAAACCCTCTTCAGGGTCACTATGAACCAGAACTGACTCGACGGCACTTAACAACAACTCTTGGCCAACAACTGTGACTACATATATGTTTTTTTTTTTGGTTTTTTTTTCCCATATATGTATTTTTTTTTTTTTTTAGAACATACCTATGACAAGGTTAGGCATTTGAATCAACCTACTCTGAAGGAGCTCTGGTAGCGTAGTGGTTACGAATCGGGCTGCGAACCTTAAGGTCAGCGGTTCGAAACTACCAGCCGCTCCGCGGGAGAAAGATGAGGCTTTCTACTCCCGTAAAGATTTACACCCTCGGAAACCCTGTACAGGGTCGCTATGGGTCGGACCCGACTCGATGGCACTTAACAACAACAACAACAACTGACAAAGTGATAAACTCACATACAATTCTCGTTGTTGATATTACCAGTCAGTTAGCAGCCTACCACTTAACCCAGTGTGCCACCAAGGCGCCACATATATTATGTAAATATTCTAGAGCAGAGAGTGTTCTGTTATCCTTACGTCAACATTCGTACCGTGAAATAAGGTTGCTAACACAACAGATAATAATACTACAGCAGATAAAAATAATTCACTTTGAATAAACCATATAGTGTAAAATTGAAAAAGTGAGCCAATGACTTCCGAAAGAAAATACATTGTTATTAAAAAAGAGAGAGAGAGAGAGGAGCCATGTATTTTGGGCTGTACCAGAGGAAGAAGTAGGTTTTCTGTCCGTTTCTCAGCTCCAAATTCCATTGGCCCTAAAGTCAATGGTTATTTTATTGATTTATTTTTCAGTAAATCATGTTTACATCAATGGTTAAATTGAAATGGTTTTAGAAACAAGATTTTTAAGGCTTTCATTTCTCCTTTTCCCTAAAATTTAGACTCATTAAAGGAAACATTCTAATAAATATACTTTTACATAGCAATTTCTAGAAGAGTGTTTATTCCTAGGGAGTTTTCTCTTAAAGAATGATCAGATACTATGTCTTGTTTAATTACTGCTCTACAAAAGGGCTCACTGGGGCTTTTCAGAATATATGCAGTTGTTTAATGGATGTTATTAAGAGAGTGCCCAGTTGAGGGAAAGGAGTTCTGGTAGCGTAATGGTTAGGAGTCGAGCTCCCAACCTCAAGGTCAGCAGTTCCAAATTACCAGCTGTTTCTCAGGGAAAGATAAGGCTTTCTGCTCCAGTAAAGATTTACAGTCTCGGAAACCCTGTACAGGGTTGCTGTGAGTCGGAACCGACTCCACGGCACATAGCCACCACCACTTCTAGTTGAGGGAAATTAGTCACACAGCTAGAAGAGACACAGGAATTTTGCTGCAAGCCTGTTTTTTGATAAACTATTGAGTCAATTATTTTCTAAAATATTACTACTTTGGAAAGTTTTTGTTTTAATAGGAAGTTTCGAGATTTTTTGTCTTGTGATAGGAGGATTTTCTGAGTATAGTACTTCTAAAGAAGTGGTTCACTTCTGAATCACCCTGTGATGCTTTTAAAACAAATCCCCAGGTGATTTTACATCTATATTGAGAGTTGTCCCGCCCATAAGGTTCTATATGCCCCACTTCCCATATTTTGCCCCATGTTTGGCAAATGGAAGTTGCTTTTATGTTGGATTTCACATTTTTCACACTACTAAATATTCAGAAATTAAAATTCAGTAGGAAGTAGGAATTTGCCAAAAATGTAAACTAACTTTGTCATTTATCCTAGCATAAACCCCTCTCTCATAATAGTTAGCTATTTTATGTCAAAAGGCCATTCTGGCTCTATAATTGTTTGATTTTATATTGATAGAAGAGAACAGAGTATACAAGTCTATAAATCTTACTATCTTTGAATAGAAACCTGCTGTTTTTCATTCTTGACATCTTAAGTTGTAACTTTAACTTCTCTATTTTCAAGAGCAAGTTTCAGAATCTGCTCTGACATCTATTTTGGTCTTCTCTTTCTTTCCTGTCTTTTTAATGACTTTTGCTTTCTTCACATATGTATGATGTTCTTGATGTTATCCACAGTTCCTTTGTTCTTGAATAATTTGTGTTTAATGCATCAAATCTGTTCTTAAGGTGGTCTCTAAGTCCTGGTAGGATATACTAAAGGTTATAATATTTGGTTCTTGTGGAGTTGGTTTAATTTTCTTCAGCTTTAGCCTAAACTTACATATATGAGCAACAGATGGTCTGTTCCATAGTCTGCCCCTGGCTTTGTTTCGACTGATAATATTTAGCTTTTCCACTGGTGGATGGTGTGTAAATTTGAATACTAGTGGTATTAATTGGTCTTCCTTGGAGACATACGGATATCCTACCACAGACAGTGTTGTATTTCAAGACTTGGAAATGCTCCTTTTGACAATGAATGTGACGCCATTCCTCTTCAATTTGTCATTCCCAGAATAGTAAACCATATGATTGTGTGATTCACAGTGGCCAATACTAGTCCATTTTAGCTCACTAATGCCTAGGATAGCCAAACTTCGTCTCTCATACTTTGGACATATTGTTAGGAGGGAACAGTCCTTGGAGAAGGATATCATGCTTGGTAAGATGGAGGGTCGGAGAAAAAGAGGAAGACCCCCAACGAGATGGATTGGCCAGGTGGCAGCATCAATGGACTCAAGTGTGGTAACAGTAGTGAGGCTGGCCCAGGATCGGACATTGTTTTGTTCTGCTGTGCATAGGGTCACTATGAGTCGGTGCCGACTTGATGGTACCTAACAACAACAACAACAATGCCTAGGATATTAATTTTTATTCATTCGACTTCATTTTTGATGACTTCCAATTTTTCTAGATTCATTCTTCATACATTCCATCATCTGTTCATTTATTAATGAATGTTTGCAACTGTTTCTTCTCATTCTGAGTTGTGCTAAATCAGCAAATGAAGATCCCGAAAGCTTTGTTCCATCCATGTCATTAAGGTCAACTGCTTTGAGGCGGCACCTCTTCACCAGTTTTATTTGAGTGCCTTCCAACCTGAGTAACTCATCTTCCAGCATTACCTCAGGCAATGTTTCACTGCAATTCATATGGTTTTCAGTTGGTAACCTTCCAGAAATGGTCCACCTTTCCTTCTTCGTAGTCTGTCTTGGTCTGGAAGTTTATCTGAAACCAGTTCGCTCTGGGTGACCCTGCTGGTATTTAAAATACCAGTGGTACAGCTTTCAGCATCACAGCAACACACAAGCCACCACATACAACAAACTGACAGTTGATTATGATGTTGGTGGGGAATCTTGAAAGTACCATGGACAGCCAGACAACAAACAAATCAGTCTTGGAAGAAGTACGGCCAGAATGCTCGCTGGAAGTGAGGATGGCGAGGCTTGTCTCTTGTACTTTGGCAATGTTATCAGGAAGAACCTGTCCTTGGAAAGGGACATCATCCTTGGTAAAATGGAGGGTTAGAGAAAAAGAGGAAGACCCTCATGAATTGGATTGACACAGTGGCAGCAATAATGGGCTCAAACATAACAATTGTGAAGAGGGTTCAGGGTTGGGGTATATATGGTCCCTATGAGTCGAAACCAATGTGATGGCTCCTAACAACAACAACATGTTTTAACTGAAAATCTCTGTATGCAGGTAGGCATTTGTCTGCATTATCAGAAAATTAGGATGTTATTGATTTTTTTCATGGTCCCTGCATAACAAGGTTTTTGTGGAAAGTGATTAGAGCTATTTCAGCAGCATTTTGTTATTCTTATGTGTGGAATCAAAATATAAACAGCATACGAATTTCTTGGTCTTCTCCATGTTTGCATTCAGAATGAACAGATAAGTGTAGCAGTAGAGTCAATAGGTTCCTTTGATTATTTTGTCCATTTTGAAATCTTGTTCCTTAAAGTATCTTCTTTTTGGTTATTTGCTAATGGATAGAAAATACTTATGATGACATGAATTTTTACCGACTTGAATAGAGTCAGTGTTAATTTTTGATTTTCCCTGTCACCCTGAAGGCAAAGTGCTGTGTAACTGTTACCCTTCACATTGCCTTTTCTCACCCAGGTGGGCACCCACTGAGCCTTGCACATGGATCAGTAAATATATATTGAATGAATGAATAAATTCATGAATGAATATAATTACCCATAATTTTAATGACTTTGTATGTATACCACGTGACATGGATATGTCAAATTATAGGATAACCTGTTTCTTACTTTCTTGTTTTTCAGTCACTGGAGGAGGACCCATGGCCAAGGCTGAACTCTAAGGACCATATACCTGCTCTTATTCGTAGTAATGCCTTCTCAGAGAATTATTTAGATATCCCAGCTGAGTTAGCTCGAGGGAATGTCCAGCCTGTAGTCATACCCTCAAAAGAGCCAGAGCCACTTGAGGAAAATTGCACTAAAGCCCTGACTGTGAGGACACATGATTCTTTGAATAATAGTCTGTCAGTTGGCCTTGTGCCTACCAATTCAACAAACACCATCATGGACCCAAAAAACGTAAAGATGTCAACTCCTGGGCAGATGAAAGCCCAAGAAGTTGAAAGAACACCCCCAGCAAACTTTAAGAGGACATTGGAAGAATCTAACTCTGGCCCCCTTATGAAGAAGCACAGACGAAATGGCTTGAGTCGCAGTAGTGGTGCGCAGCCTGCAAGCCTCCCCACGGCTTCTCAGCGAAAGAACTCTGTTAAACTGACCATGCGCCGCAGACTGAGGGGCCAGAAGAAAATGGGAAATCCCCTATTGCATCAGCACAGGAAAACTGTTTGTGTTTGTTGAAATGTATCTGGGAAATGACCCACCCTGACACGCACACTTAGGATATAAGAGGGCTTTTTTGAAGTTGGTGCAGAAGTTGAATTTTTTTAATGGGAGAAAAAAAAAAGAGTGCATAGTTTCATGTTTTGGAATTCAACAGTTTTATTCTAGCCTTGTACCTGCTTGTATTATAAATGTGAATTTTGTAGCTGTTGGATATAAGTTGCTGTAAAATGTGTGTAAATTTGTATTCTTTCCAGAAACTCAGTCTCTGACTCTGATACTCAGTAATTGTGACAACAGGGCTAAATGCTTAAAAAAAAAAAAAAAAATCAAAAGACACTTAGATTTTAGAGATATGTCTAAACTTTTTAAAATGCTTATTATAAAATTTGTATACGCCACGTGATGTAATCTAGACAACTTTTTAAACTAAATTATTAAGCAAACTGGAAAAGTGATGTATTTTCATAGTGACCTGTGTGTGCCACTTAATGTTTCTTAGAGACTACTAATGTCTTTTAAAAAAAGATTTTTTATTTCTAATTTCATAACTCAGAACTAACATTTTCATAGAAGCAGACGTGTTGAGTCGTGCTAACGTAGCTGGATATTAGTATTAAAGTACTATGCAGTATCTCTAATTTCAGTAGCATTTTTCTAAAACATTAATCATCAGATCAACTCACCAAAACTCTTATTTTGCAGTAAAAGGAGGTGTGCTTGCCTAAAAAAAACAAAATACCCTTCTCAATCATCCCAGACATTCAGTGACATTGTTAGATCCTAAGGTAGTTACCCCCTTCTAGTGTTTGGCTTAAAATATGTGAAGTTTTTCTTGCTATTTCAATAACAGATGGTGCTGCTAATTCCCAACATTTCTTAAATTATTTTATATCGTACAGTTTTATTGATTATATGGATATATGTTTGTTCATCTAATAAATCAGTGAACTGTTCTTGTGTTGCTGGATTTTTGTTGTTGATTTGTTTTAATGGTATATATGACCTCTCTGTTGTACCATGATCATACTGTAGCTTAACAATTCATAGAATGTTCATTTTTGCATTCTGGCTTTTAAATATAGAATGGAAATAAGCTAACTTTCCAACAATAAGAATATGGTTAAATCAAGTCAGGTTTATTTAAGCATTTCATGAGATAGCATGTAGAAATTAAAAGTGAATGAAGTACTGTATATACTTTGAAAATATGGGAATAGAAATAGAATTAAAAGGAACTAATACTAGGATGGCTAAGCTTCGTCTCTCATACTTAGGACATATTGTCAGGAGGGAACAGTCGCTGGAGAAGGATGTCATGCTGGGTAAGATGGAGGGTCAGAGAAAAAGAGGAAGACCCGTAACGAGATGGATTGGCCAGGTGGCATCATTGATGGTGTCAAGGGTGGCAGCAGTAGTGAGGTTGGCCCAGGATCGGACATTGTTTCATTCTGCTGTGCATAGGGTCGCTATGAGTCGGTTCCAACTCGATGGCACCTGACAATAACAACAACAACAATACTAAAACACGAAGAGTGTATCATTTGGGGCTGGTAACCTGTGCTCTACAATTAGAAAATTTTGAAAATGTATCTACTTTTATTCATGAAGAGATTGAAAGGGGAATTCATTCCACATTTATTGTGCACTTACACTATGCTTGGAACTGTACAGTTGGAAGTATACCAGCTTTCCTTAGGACTGATTGGTAGTCAAGGAAAAACGTTATTTTGTGATTGGTGTTTTTGAATACTGAAGAGTTCATTTATACCACATCTATTCAAAGAAAAGACAGCACTAGTACATAGTTTTAGAGTCAATTTATTATGAAGGATTTTCCCACATTTTAGACTTAGAATATCTTAACTGCACCCAGTAGAAATCCAGCAAATCGGAATGTGGTGGTAGCTGTGTGCAGTCAAGTCAGTTCCCACTTATAGCGACCCTGTATAGGGTTTCTGAGGCTGTAATCCTTACAGGAGCAGAAAGCCTCATCTTTCTCTATGAGTGACTAGTAGATTAGATCTGCTGACCTTGTGTTTAGCAGCCCTGTTTGTAATCCACTTTGCTAACAGGACTCCTGAAATCTGAATGTGTACTGATGAAAATAAAAATCATTTAGCTACTTTTCACTTTTTTTTTGGCCAGCGGTCCTAAAAAAAAAAAAATGTAATCTCTTATCTATAGGAAGTTAATTTTATTTGATTAGAAAAATGGATCATATGTTTTTTCAAATCAATTTTTTAATATGAAAAGGTCATAGCATTCATTCCTATATCACATTATGTTTTAGTGCTAGAGTCCAGTTCCATATTCTACTTATTGTTAAGTGCTGTTGAGTCGGTTCCGACCCATAGTGACCCTGTGCAGGGTTTCCAAGTAGCGACTGGTGAGTTTGAACCGCCGACCTTGCAGTTCAATCTGACCTTGGGGTCTAGCACATACTAGTAGGCATCTAATTTTGGAAACATGTTTAGTTTGAGATAGATAACTGCAAACATTAAAATCAGTTCTTTTTTGGCTGTTCTTATGGGCTGTGGCTAGCCTTAGTATTTTTTTAAAGAAAGTTGCAGATATTATATAATCACAAATGGCTTTATTTGCCAATATAAAACTTATCAGTAGTAAAATGCATGATGGAAAATTCATGATGCATAAAACATTACAAAATGAAAAGACTAGGCAGCTGACATTTCCCTTTCCTCCATTTTCTGGTGTGTTCTTTCAGAGATAATCTATGCATAGAGACACAACTATCATTGGTAAGTGCCATCGAATCAGTTCGACTCATAGGACCCAGTATAGGTTTTCCAAGGAGTGGCTGGTGAGCTTGAACCACTGACCTTGCGGTTCAAACTGACTTTGCAGTCCAGCGCATTAGCCCACAGTGCCACTATCTCGTAACCTAATACTCTGAAGATGTTCTCATGTCAGTCCATCAACATCCTTGTTCTTCAGTATTCTAGTCACTGTATATGTTATTTATATTATTTAGCTATACCATTATATAAAAGAGTTCTGGTATGGTGCTGTAGGATCAGTACTGGATTGCAAGGTCGTCAGTTCAAAGTCACCAGCAGCTTCTCGGGTACCCTATACAGGGTCGCTATGAATCTGAACCAACTCAAAGGCACTTAATAACAATGATATAAATAGGTCTACATATTCGCTATGAGTCTGAACCAACTCAAAGCACTTAACAACAACAATGATATAAACAGGTCCACATACTGGTTCTTTTCCAATGTTTTATAGACTTGATAATTGATCTATGTATGTTATGCTTTAAAAATTAAAAGTATGTTTTAATTATCTATTACCATGTAACAATACCCGCAAATGTAACAACAACAACAACAAAAATATCTCCACAGTTTCTGAGAAAGGAATCTGCATGTATGTTAACTGGTTTACAATCACATGTGGTTGCAGTCAAATTACCAACCAGGGCTACAATAATCTGAAGGCTTGAGAGACTGGAGGCTCTGCTTCCCACAAGGTTTCTTTCATAGACAGCAGGCCTCAGTTTCTAATGAGAAATGCCTCTTTCAGAGTGCTGCTCACAACATGGCAATGAACTTTCTCCCACAGCAAGCAATACCGAAGAGCAAGGCAGAAGCCACATTGTGTGTTATAACCTAATTGCAGAAATGTAATGCCAGTGATTTTGCTATATTTTACTGATCACACAGACCACACTTGATAAAATGTGGGAGGAAACAACACAAGAGTGTAAATACTATGATATGGGTATCATTGGTGACCATTGTGGAGACTCAGTGTCACCATCTGGAGGTTAAAAGCATTTATCCTGTAAAATGCAGACTAGCATTGCGTTTACAAGCTGTGTAACAAGCATGTTTTGGTAACCAGCATTAATGGACAATGCTATTTTTCATCAACATACAGATACCTGGATGATGGCTCTAATAGGGTAAAGCATTTTTGTTTTAATTTCCCTCCCTGAATATACTACGTCCCTAACAAAAGTTGAAAGCAACTAATTTTGCAATATTAGTGGTTGCCTTAGGGATTAATGTGCTGGACTGCAAGGTCGGTGATTCAAACTCACCAATCACTCGTTGGAAACCTTATACAAAGCCTCTATGAGTTGAAACCAACTTGATGGTATTTAACAACAACAAATCTTTTATAGACTATTTAGTATTTTATCAGTACAGTGGAGTGCAGAAACCTTACCATCATTCAACTCTCTTTCTTATAGTTGTCTTCTGTATTACATCTATCAGACCCTGCCAGACAATGCTATGATTTTTGCTATCACTAATCAAATATATTGTAAATAACCGAAGAGGGGAAGAAGTCTATTTGCTTGCCATTTCTATTGGTCTTCATTGACATCCCAAGTTTCCTTTTGGTATCATTTTCTGTCAGCACTTTAAAAAAAACATGTGCCATTTTATTTTAGCCTTATTGGTTGTCCTCTTTAGCCAATGCGTTATTTTCTCTGGCTGTTTTAGGATTCTTTGTCTTTAGTTTTCAGTAGATGTGTCCTATGTGAATTTATTTGTGACTTCCTTGTGTGGTTGAAACTCACCAGCAGCTACTTGGAAACCCTATACAGGGGCACCATGACTGGGGACTCAACTCCAAGGCACCCAGTGGCTACTGATGAGCCCTGGCCAGTGATCTATCTGCTAGTTCAGTTCTCAGAGCCTTTGGCATGCTAATTAGAATCAGATCCACTTTGAGGGTCACTTTACTGAGCTCTTCCCTGCTCTGAAGTCTTCCGGAAACTGCTGTTTCCTGGCAGCCTCTCTGTAGTGGTTACAGAGTTGGGCCAATAATCTCGGGGTCAGCAATTCGAAACTTCCGGCGGTTCTGCGGGAAAAAGATGAGGCTTTCTGCTCCGGTAAAGACTCACGGAGTCCTGGTTTGACACCGTAGTGTAAGCACTGGACTTCAAGGTCGGTTTGAACTGCAAGGTTGGTGGTTCAAACTCACTAGCCTCTCCTCGGATCCCTACAGGGTCTCTATGAGTCAGAACCGTCTCCACAATTCTTACCACCACCACCACCATCAGTCACAAAGCTGGGATTTAGGTATCGTTTACTTCCATCATAGGAGCTTGACTGTTGTTGTTAAGTGCTGTCGAGTCGATCCCGACCCATAGTGACCCTGTATAGAGTTTCCAAGGGGCAGCTTTTGAGCTCGAACCACCGACCTTGCAGTTCAAACGGCTTTCTCTCTGGAGCATTACTTCACAGCGCCACACCAACTACATCCCCCAAAAGCCCTGGTGTGGCGCTGTAGGATAAGCACTGAATTGGTAACCTCAAGGTCAGCATTTCAAACTCACCAGCCACTCTGGGAAACCCTATACCAGATCACTGAGTCGAAACCAACTCGAGGGCACACAACAAACAACTACCCAAAAGGTTGGCGGTTTGAACCTGCTGAGAAGCGTTTAGGGGGACAGGCCTGGCCATCTGCTTTGGGAATGTCACAGCCTTGGAAAGTCAGCGGAGGAGCAGCTCTACTCAGCACTCTTGGAGGGCTGGGTGAGGGACCATGACGAGTCCAAACAGACTCCACAGTAATTAACAACCTCCACCACTGTCCCTAAATCTTGGAAAAATGTAACCAATAATAGCACATTGAGACTCCTGTGTGGCCCTTTAGGATCAGCACTGGACTATGAGTGAACCCACAAGGTCCGCAATTTCAAACCCACCAGCTGCTCCTTGGAAACCCTACACAGGCTCCTTATGTAAGCTAGAGGAGTACTGGTGTGGAACTGTGGGTTAATGCGCTGGACTGACTGCAAGATGGGTTTGAACAGCAAAGTGGGCGGTTCAAGCTCACCAGCTGCTCCTTGGAAACCCTATACAGGCTCCTTATGTAAGCTAGAGGAGTACTGGTGTGGAACTGTGGGTTAATGCGCTGGACTGCAAGATGGGTTTGAACAGCAAAGTGGGCGGTTCAAGCTCACCAGCTGCTCCTTGGA